AATTCCCGAGCACTTGATTGTACTCATGAGGAATCTGTACCTTGACCAGGAGGCTGTCGTTCGAACAGAACAAGGGAACACTACATGGTTTAAAATCAAGAAGGGAGTGCGTCAGGGTTGTATCCTTTCTCCACACTTATTCAATCTATATGCTGAGCAAATAATCCGAGAAGCTGGACTATATGAAGAAAAACATGGTATCAGGATTGGAGGAAGAATCATTAACAACCTGAGATATGCAGACGATACAACTTTGCTTGCTGAAAGTGAGGATGACTTAAGGCACCTACTGATGAAGGTTGAAGAATACAGTCTGCAGTATGGATTCCATCTCAATATAAAGAAAACAAAAATCCTCACAACTGGACCAATGAGCAGCATCACAATAAATGGGGAGAAGATTGAAGTTGTCAAAGAATTCACATTGCTTCGTTCTACAATCGATGCCAACGGAAGCAGCAGTCAGGACATTAGACGACGTGTAGCATTGGGAAAGTCAACTGCGAAGGAACTGTATCAAGTGCTGAGGAGTAAGGATATCTCCTTGAGGACTAAGGTGCGCCTGACACAAGCCATGATATTTCCAATCGCCTCGTATGCATCTGAGAGCTGGACAATGAATAAGGAAGACCGAAGAAGAGTTGATGCTTTTGAGTTGTGGTGCTGGCGGAGAATGCTGAAAGTACCGTGGACTGCTAAAAGAACTAACAGATCTGTCCTGGAGGAAGTGCAGCCAGAATGCTCCTTGGAAGCAAGAATGGCCAGACTTCGTCTCACCTATTTTGGCCATGTTTTAAGAAGGGACCATTCTCTGGAGAAGGATGTCACGCTTGGTAGGGTGGAAGGGCGACGAAAGAGGGGGAGGCCTTCAATGAGATGGATTGACATGGTGGCTCAAGTATAGCAGGGATTGTGGGGCTGGCGCGGGATCGGGCAGTGTTTGGTTCTGCTGTGCATGGGGTCGCTATGAGTCAGAAATGACTCGACGGCACTTAACAACAACAACAACAAATACCCAAACGCCTAAAATGCCCGTCGGAGACAAGCCGCTCAGGTCCAGAGAACCCACTCACAGAGGGGCCCTTCCAGGAGGGCGCTCTCTGGTGAGCTCCCCTACCCAGTCCCAGGTCGCAGCCTGGTGACAGCCCACCTGAGGGCCCACCCACCTGGGCAGGAAGCCTGACACTCCCCCCTCGCCCCCAGGAGCCCTCCTGCCTTTACTTTAGGGGCTGCATGGGCAGGTCCCTGGCCAGGCTCCCTGGCACCCCACAGTGGCACAGGAAAAGAGGACAGCTGCTCTTCCCCGCAGTCCCGGGAGGAACCCCAAGGTGTCCAGTGTCTCCCACTCCCCTGGCCAGCCTGCACCCATGGGGAGACCCGGCCCAGACCCCTGGCCAGCCTGTACCCACTGGGAGACCCTGCCAGCCTCAGGGGACACCAGTGACCCTGAGACTCAGGGAGAGGGAGAGATTGGCCAGGCCCCACCCAGAGCCCACACATCCTGCCCAGCCATCTCCACGGATGGTCACTCCTCCTCCCCCAGGCCAGCAGACAGGCTGCAGGGTCACACCTTGTTTCCCAGTACAAATGCTATTTGAGGAGCAATGACGTGGCTCCCCAAGTTCACACTGGAAGGCCAGGCCAGCGAACCCCGGACTGCTGCTTCCTCCCATCCCTGTACCTACAGCAAAGCCCCAAGGGGTCAGTGACCACGGACAAACACCTCTGGCCCGTGCACACAACGGACACTTCACAGCCACAAAGGGAGTGAAGTTCCCATACACACCACAGCGTGGCTGGACCTGGAGGACGCCATGCTGAGCAGGAGAAGCCGATGCAGAAGGACAGACGGCACTCGGTCCCACTTACTGGAGCTCTCCTAAGGGGTAGACGGGTAGGGACCAAACAGTCGTGGTCACCAGGGCCAGCGGAAGGTGGGAATGGGCGAGTGCCCACTGAGGGTGAAGAAAGCGTTCAGGGACGGACAGGGTGATGGTCAGACAACACGGCACATGTCATTACCACCACCGATCGGAGCACTTTAAAATGGCTAAGCGGCAGAGTGATGTCACTTGCAGGTTAACACAACTTAACAGAGAGAGAGCCCCACCCCTCTGCTCGAAGCCCCCTTCCCCAGTCCTGCCCACCCACCCTGGCCTCACTGGGGGCCTCCTTGTGCCCAGCCCATGCGCCAAACCCACACCTGCATGTCTGTGCCCCCAATGACCCTGGGCCAAAGGGAAGGACGCGTCCCATGTTCCGGTCACAGGGAGAGGCCACGACTGGGGGGTGTGCTAGCAAAGCCCTGCCCTTCCACCAGGCCCCTGTCTCTCAGCCTGCAGGTGGCGCCACACTGTGACCCCCACCCCCGGCCTAAACCTCAGACCTGGCCATGCTGGGGGCCTCGTCAGTCCCTCAGAGCAGTGCTCTCAAGCTGGGTCCACAGCCATTCTCAGGCAGGTAGCGCTGCCCAAAGCAGGGCCCCCCTCGGCCTCCCAGCTCTGCCTGCTTCCAGCCCTGTGGCCCGGCAGCTCCTCCACCCCAACCCCCGACAGGCGCCGTGGGCTGTCCCCAGGGTAGTGTGTCTGTGTCCTGCTGCCCGGCGTCCGGCCAGCCACTCCCCACCCCCCCCAGGGCTTGGCCTCAGTCATCTACTGGCCTGGGCTGGACCTGCCAAGTGCCAGCGAGCCCCTGGGGGCAGGCAGTGCCAGGCAGAGGCCGGAGGGCAGCAGGACAGGTGGCAGCCCCGAGCTGTAAACAGGCCGAGGCTGCGATATAAAGGCATTGCCCCCCAGGGCTCTTCAGCACCCCAGCCTGACCGCTGCCCAGAGCCTTCGCAGGAGCCGGCAGAGGTCAGGCCCGGCTGGGGAGACCCTGGTGGGGGGAGGGAGGAGGCAGGGTAGGGGAGGCCCCAGCAGCCTCGAGAGAGCCCCAGGTCTGCGGGGTGAGCAGGTACCAGGGAGCCTACAAGGCCCTTCTACGGGTGGCCCAGCTGGGGTGGGAGATGGTGAGTGGCCCCCCACGGGTGAGGCAGGAGGCCGGCAGTCCCCGTGGGCCCCTGCCGTCACTGCCCTGACCCTATCTGGGGGCTCCTCCAGGCCTCCCCCTGTCCTCACCAGAATGTGACCACTGGCAGATGCTAGAAACAGAGACAGAGGGTCTGAGCGGGCCCTGCTGGTCTTGGGGAGGTGTGGCGGTGTGTGGGGCCGTAGCCTGGCCTTATAGGTCGTGCCTCCTGTGGGTATGGAGTGCAGCAAGGGGAGGTGGAGGGAAGAGGCAGGGCAGGGGGCTGTGGGGTAGGCCGAGGGAGGCCGGCTGTAAGACGCTTTGCAGCCCTGTGGCAGGCCATTACGCTGGGCCCTGGGGAAACAGCCGAAGGCCCCAGAGTGGAGCTAAAGGCCCTGTCTCCTTCTGCAACATCTGGTCTTAGCCCCCTGCCTGCGTGTGTGTGCTGTGAGTGCTGTGTGTGCATGCGTGGGGGTGTGTACATGAGTGTGTGCATTGCACAGTGGGGCCTCTGACCTCAAGACTCCCAGGGGTGGGGGGTGGGACACAGCCAAGGCCCTGAGCTGGAGGAGACAGGACGTGCACGCCCCACCAGCCCGAGCTCCACAAAGCGAGGTGACACTGAGCCCGGGAGGGCTCCGAGCAGACTCAGGGTGGGGAGTCCTCCCCCAAGATGTGGGGGGCGGCTGAGCCCGCGGGGCTCCAGGCCAGGGCGTCAGGGAGTTGGGGGCTGGCTGCACCTGTGGGGCTCTGCCATCCTGCGGGCCCCCATCCTACCTCTGCACCACCTGCGGGCAACCCTAGGGGCGAGGTCGGGGCTGGGGACACCCTGAGACAGGCCTTGTGCATTGTCCAAAGCCCTTCCCACTCCCCGCATGGCTCCTCACAAGACCCTGTGGGAAGTACAGCAGGGAGGGCCCCCACTTCCCAACTAAAGAAAGGAAGCGGGAGCAGTCGCGGGCGCCCAGCCAGGGGCCAGGGCCGTGTCCAGCTGCCTGCAAGGCTGCGAGGGCTGAGGTACAATCTTTGACCTCACGGCAGCCCCTCTGGGTGGGTGGGAGAATGTTCCAGAAGCTGCCACCGGTACATGAACTTTTGAGAGAGCCAAGGAGCCCGCTGGCCCCGCCGCCCTCACGCTCTGAAATAGCTGCTCTGAGGAGCCCTGAACTCAACCCCCCCACCCCGGGGACGCAACCCGAGAGCCCTATCGTCACCGTCACTGCAGCAGAGACCCAGCCTGCCAGCCTGCGTGTGACCAGACCCCCACGGCAGGCTGCCGTCCACAAAGGGGTTTGGAGACCCGCACCGGCTGGTGGACGTCGCAGGCCTGCCTCCCCACGGCTGACCCCGCCCAGGCCTTGAGTGCCCAGCGAGGGTCGGCAGGGGCGGGACCGAGAGTGCCTGGGAAAGACTCAGTGCTGGGCAGCTCACCTCCAGGTGCCTGAGCACAAGACAGACACGCGCACCGCACCGGCAAAGCTCATGGTAGGGCGGGGACGGGGTGGCAGCCAGAGCCTGGCCTGGGGTCTAGGAAAATGAGGCCAAGCCCTAGCCGCCACAGGATGAGAAGATGATGCTCGGGGCAGCCAGGCAGGCTTCCCAGAGGAGGCAGCTTTGCCACGGGCCTTGAAGAGAATTCTGCTCAGTGGTCAGAAGGCCACCACCCCCACCCAACTGAGAAGGGCACTGACCGTCTTGGGGCCTCAATGACTTTTTCTGAGAAGTAGGGACAATGCCCTAGGGGAGCCTGGCTACCAAGGGGAGAAGTGCTCAGAATCAGAGGAGGGCAGGGGCCCTGGAGGTGGTCTGAGGTCTGCCTTCCTCCTGGGTCCTGGGCACAGACGTCCCCCATGCAGCTGGGATGTTGACGCCTCCTGACCTTTCCCACAGTCTTGCTTTGGTCTCAGGGACCCCCGCTTGGGTAGCGAGGGGCTTGATCCCTGACAGGCCTGGCCCGAGCAGGCCCCTCACACCCGGCCACCCTCAGGGGCAGGATGGATGAGGACTTCGCCTCTCAGATGAAGAAGATGGCCTTGGCCATGGGCACGTCCCTGTCAGACAAGGACATTGAGCTGTTGCCCACGGACATTCGACACCACGGTACAGCCCCCTCCCTCAGCACAGCACCCCTCTAGCTTGGCTATGCTGAGATACAACGGACAGAAGGACCCTTCCCAGGACTGACAGCACAGGACACTGTGACCTGGGGGGTGCTGGGGGGCTAAGGGGCGGCCGATGGGATCCGAGCGGGGTGGGCCAAGCTCCCAGGCTTGGGGCTGAGCCATCCCAGGGTCTACCTCGGGGTCCCCTGGCCAGGGCTGTCCCCGGTGACCAGCTGCCTGGTCCCAGGGTCCTTCAACTACTTCAAGTTCTTTGAGTACATGCAGAAGTTCCAGGCCTCAGGGCAGCTGGAGGCCGCCATCCACAAGGCCTTCCAGACGCTGGACAAAGACAAGAGTGGCTTCATCGAGTGGAACGAGATCAAGTAAGACCAGGGCCCTGCCAGCCTCCCTGCGACCCCCGAGAGCCCATCCCCGCACCCCAGGCCCCTTGGGCCCCAGCTGGCCTCGAGGACACCAGGTCCGGAGGCTGAGGAACAGTACAACTCCAGCCCAGGGGTCCCATCAGCTGGACCTCCCCTCCCTGGGCCTGTCAGGCCAGTGAGTCCCGTGCCAACCACGACGTCAGCCAGGCGCCCCCTCCAGCCACCCTGCAGCCCTCACCTGACCCAGCCCACCTCGGCCCCAGGTACATCCTGTCCACCATCCCGAGCAGCGGGCCGGCCGCTCCACTGACGGATGAGGAGGCAGAAGCCGTGATCCAAGCCGCCGACACGGACGGGGACGGGAGGCTCAACTTCGAAGGTGGGGCGGCAGGGGTGAGGTCTGGGACAGCTGGACAGGACCCTGGCCCCTGACCCCGGCCCCTGCTCCCGTCAGCCCCATCAGGGGTCAGCCCTGGCCCATGCGGTGCCATGCTCCTGGCTAAGCCTTTGCAGCCATCACCCCCATTTTATGGTTAGGAAGACTGGGCCGTGGAGGTGCAAAGTGGCGTGTGGTGTCACACGGGCCCTAGAGGACCACAAAGATTTCTGAGCAGAGGAGAGGGGTAGGGTGATGTGGACAGGGGGGCGTGGAGGCAGGGGCCAGGACCCAGGGGCTATAGGGGGGGCATGGAGGCGTGCAGGCCGGGTGCATGCAGGGTGAGGGCTGCTGTCTTGAGGAAATGGGGTTTGACATGGCCTTCCTGAGGACCTGGGTCCCCTTGGCACCTTCTCACCCTTCCCAGCTTTTGGCACAGGTCTGGAGGGGGCACCAGGGATATCGCTCATACGTCTCTCTGTGGACCCAGCTGAGCCTGGCCCATCCTGTAACCCTGAGCCTCCACACCCTGCCTGCCAGACACCAGGGGCCCTGATTCGTTGGGGGACTGCAGGCTTCACAGTGGGGCAGCCTGGCTGAGGGGGTCGGGAAGGCTTGGGTCACCAGGCTCTCTGTGCCTGTTTCCTCACTGCAAAAGGTGGGGTGACCCCAGAAGCACCTGCTTCAGAGGCTCTGGTGGGCATTCTCGTGGGTCCCCCAGAGACTCCCCCTCCAGCCCCGACGGGGTTCACTCTCCCCTCCACCAGGCAGGCCTGGGGGACCCATCATTATGGATGCTGAGTCAGCCCCGGTTCAGTCCTTCCTGACCCCACTCCCAGGGTCCTGGCTCCCAGGCAGGCCATGGGGTCCTCCCAGAAAAGGGGGCCCAGCTTCCCCAACCCCCAGGAGCTAAAGGGCCTGCAGGGTTTGGGGTGCGAGGCTGGGGTTATTTAGAAGGAATCTACCTCCTGCTCTAGAATTTTCGGACATGATCACAAAGGAGAGAATCCGCAGGAAGTAGCGGCGCCGCCGAGGCCCAGCCGAGGCCCCGGCACCATGGCTCCAGGGTGCTGACTGGGTGCCCCTGGGAGCCTGCGGAGGTGGCTCATCTGGAAAAGTGGAAGAAAAACTGTATTAAATGACACTGTATCCGTGTGTCTGCAGGCGTGGACGGAGTTCTTCGGGGTGGGAGGGTCCCCTCATCTCTACCCGCACACACCCACCTGTACACTGGCACCTCCCTCCCAGACTTGGGACGCTCACCTGGCCCTTCTGCCCACCTGCCGTCTCCCCAACTTTGCCTGATCCTCCCCCTGCACTGTGCCTCCCCAGCGCCCCAGCCTCAGCTGTGACAGCTGCCTGCTTCAGGCTGCTTGGGCCAAAGGGTCCTGGTCACCTGGCAGACCTGTTAACTGCCCCCCAGGAGCCGTGCACCCCCACCCATGCAGGGCCACTGTGCCCAACTCCCTATGTCCACCTGTGGCCTGGAGCTACTTCTTGCCACAGAAGCTGTGCAGAGAGGGGCCATGTGGGCCACACCTGTGGCTAGTGGGGTTCCCCCTCATCTGCTTGCTGGCCTCTAAGGTCAGGTGTCAGTGACAGAGGGCCCACAGTATGGGCAGAGTCCAAGCCCCCATCACCCTATAAAAATGCCTGCCAGTCAGGAATCCCCCTGTTGGGTTATCAAACCCCAGCACTCGCGCCTCCTGGTGGGGAGGAGCGAGGGAGGGAGGGAGAGAGGCACCTGCCTGGCCCCGTCTTCAAAGTGCGCTCAGAGCCCCCATTCCCCGCCTTCCCCCATCATTCTAGCCACATCTCCTCTCCCCTGGGTGACAACCACAGCCTCCCCATTGGTCTCCCCATCTCCACCCACTGACAGTTCATCCCCAAGACAGCAGCCAGGGCTCACTCTTAAACAGAAGGTGGGCTGGTGGCTCTGCTCAGAACCCTCACACCAGTTCCCCAGTTCCCCAGGACCCTTCTGCCCTCAGACCCCACTCTGCTCCGGCCTTGCTGGCCTCTTCACGGTTTCTTAGCCAGACACATCCCCGCCTCAGGGCCTTGCCCAGCCACCCCCTCGGAGTTTTCCTCAAATGTCCTACCTTGGCTAGGTTGCTCTTCCCCACCTGGTTCTGATGCTCAGTGCTCGCTGACCGGGTCTGCTTCTCCACAGCTCTCACTCCTCACAGCCCCACACACCTGCGGGCGCCTGCGTCAGGCCTCACCGTCGTCCCACACACCTGCGGGCGCCTGCGTCAGGCCTCACCGTCGTCCCACACACCTGC